GTCAGAAAATGTTTTCTGTAAGGGGCCAGGTAATAAATACTCTAGACCATGTGGTTTCTGTTACAATTACTTAATTCTGTCATTGTAAGATGAAAGCAGCCATGGGCAATGAATAAATGCATAGGTATGGCTGTGTTCCAATAAAACTTTATTCACAAAAAAAGACAGCAGATCAGATTTGGCTCATGGGCTGTAATTTGCTGACCCCTCATATATCCAGGTTTCCATCTGGTATTATCTCTTTTTTTCCAGCTATTTGAAGGACTTCCCTTTATATTTTCTATTCCACCAGTCTGCTTGTGATGAACTCTTTCAGCTTCTGTATATCTAAAGAAGTGTTTATTTTGCCTTAACTTTTAAAAGAATTTTTGCTTAGTAAAGAGTGCCAGGTTGACATTTTTTTTCTTACAGAATTTTAAAGATTTTGAGCCACTGTCTTCTAGTCTGCATTGTTTCTGGCAAACAAATCTGCTATCCTTCTTATCTTCATTGTCCTGTATGTAGAGTATCTTCTCTACTTTTCAAATTTTATCTTTGTCACTGATTTAAAGCTATTTGATTCTGATATGTGTTTGTATTTTTTTTTTTAATTTCCTAGTTTTGGTGTTCACTGACCTTCTTGAATCTGAACTTATAATTTTTATCAAATTTGAAACATTTGGTCACTACTTCTTTAAATACTTTTCTGTCCTCTCTTTTGGGAAACCCACTCACACATATATTTGGCCACATGAAGTCATTGTTGCTCTGTGAGTTAAGTCTTTTCCTCTGTGTACTTTATTTTGGGTAGTTCCCATTGCTATGTCTTCAAGTTTACTACGCCTTTCCTCTGAAATGTCTAATCTGCTATTTCCCATTTTTGTGTGTGTGTATATATATATATATATTTTAATCTCAGACACAGTTGTTTTCTTCTCCAGAAGTTCAGTTTTAGTTTTTCTATTATCTTCCATGTCTCTACTTAATGTTCAATCTTTTCTCTAGCTTGGTGAACATATAGAATACAATTATAATGACTGTTTTAATATGCTTGTCTATTAATTCTATCATTTGTGTCATTTCTAAGTCAGTTTTGATTGATTTTTCTCCTCATTATGGGTTTTATTTTTCTAGTTCTTTGAGTGCCTGGTAATTTTTTTACTGGATGCCATATATTGTGAATTTTACCTTGTTGAGTGCTGATTATTTTTCTATTCCTAAAAGTATTCTTGAGCTTTATTTGGAGATACAAATTACTTTGAAACAGCTTATACTTTTGGTTCTTGCTTTAAGCTCAATTATCAGGGACCAGCAGCATTTAGTCTAGGGTTAATTTTTCCCACTACTGAGGCAAGACCCTACTCAGTACTCTAACTGATGTTCTGTCACTTAAGAAGTATTCTACTCTGGGTATTGGGCATAGACTCTATTCCTATTCTTGTGAGTTGTAGCACTGTTTCCTCTAATCTTTTGAGTAATTTTTTTAGTCCAGTTGTTCATATGCATGTGCTGATGGTTATTCTGTTGAATACTCAAGGGAAGTTTCTGTAGATTTCTGCTGTGTGCAGCTCTTCTTTTAAATACACTGCATTGGGAATTCTAGATTCTTTGTTTTTCTTGACCTCCAATTCTGCCGTCTCAACTCAAGGATATTGCCAGGCTCTGCCACAGTTCCGCCTTCCTTGTCATGGTCTGCAAACTTCCTTCAGGAGGTAAACCAGGTCAATAATAGGGCTATATTTGTTTCCTATCATTTAGGGATCACTGTCCTTCATTGCCTACTGCCTAATATTTTCACAGCCATTGTTTCATATATTTTGTTCAGTTTAAAAAGAAATTGTTTCAGATGAGAGATTAAAATCAGCCCCTGCTACTCCATACTGGCTAGAAGTCCCATCAATTCATGTTTAAATATTTAAGAAAAGAAAAACATTTCTTTTGTATTTTCCTACGAAGTTATCATTTCTAGTGCCCTTTATTCCTTTCTGTAGCGCTGAATTTCCATATGGTCTCATTTCTTTTCAGCATGGAGAATTTCCTTTAGCATTTCTTCTTTTAGAACTATTTATTTTTTAATTGACAAATTAAAATTATAAATATTTGTGGTGTATAACATGATGTTTTGAAATACGTATACAATCTTGAATGGTTAAACCAAGCTAATTAACATGTCTTACTTTCAGACTTACCAATTTTTTGTGGTGAGAACACTGAAAATCTACTGCTTTAGCAATTTTCAGTTATACAATAATTGCCATTAAATGGAGTCACCATGATGTACAATAGATCTTTTGAACTTATTTCTCCTACCTGAAATTTTGTATCCTCTGACCAACATTTCCCCACTTCCTCCCTCCTCCTCTGCCCAAGCCCTGGCAACCACCATTCTCATCTCTGCTTTGATAAGTTTGTCTTTTTTAGATTCCACATATAAGTGAGATTATGTGGTATTTGTCTTTCTGTGCATGGCTTATTTCACTTTTTAAAATTTTTATTTTTTTGTTAAGCTGCCAAGCTGAAGTAGAATTATTTCACTTAACATAATATCCTCTAGGCTCATCCATGTTGTCATAAATAACAAGATTTTCTTCTTTTTAAGAAGTCTTTTAAAATTTAAGAATATTCCATTGTGTATATATACCACATTTTTAAAATCCTTTCATCATTGATGGGCACTTTGGTCTTTCCATGCCTTGGCTATTGTAAATACTGCCGCAACAAACATGGAAATGCAGATATTTCTTTGACATACCAATTTCATATGCTTTGGCTATATTCCCAATAGCAGGATTGCTGGATGATATAGTAGCTCTATTTTTAACTTTTTGAGGAATTTCCATACTGTTTTCCATAATGGCTGTACTGAATTACATTTCTACCAATAATATACAAGGGTTTCCTTTTCTCAACATCTTTTCCAACATTTGCTATCTTTCATCTTTTTGATAATAGCCATTGTAACAGGTGTGAGATGATATCTTATTGTGGTTAATTTGCATTTCCTTGATAATTAGTGATGTTCTGCATTTTTCTTATATACCTGTTGTCATTTGTATGCCTTTTTTTTTTTTTTTTTTTTTTTTGAGACAAGAATGTCACCCAGGCTGGAGTGCAATGGCAAAATCTCAGCTCACTGCAACCTCCACATCACAGATTCAGGCGATTCTCATGCCTCAGCCTCCTGAGTAGCTGGATTACAAGCATGTGCCATCACACCCAGTTAATTTTTGTATTTTTAGTAGAGATGGGGCTTTGCCATGTTAGCCAGGCTGGTCTCGAACTCCTGATCTCAGGCGATCTGCCCATCTCTGCATCCCAAAGTGCTGGGATTAAAGTCGTGAGCTACTATGCTCAGCCTAGTTTGTTCTTATTTTAGGCTTAGTTTATTCTTCTTTTTCTGGTTCCTTGATATGTAATGTTAGGTTATTTGAGATCTTTCTTCCTTTTTGATATAGGTGCTTATTGCTATAAATTTCCCTCTTAGAGCTGCTTTTCCTTCATCCCAGAAGTTTTAGTATATTGTATTTCCATTTTCATTTGTTTTAAGATTCCAAATTTTTCCTTTAGCTTCTTCATTCACCCATTGGTTGTTCAGAAATACGTTGCTCAATTTCCATATATATGTCAATTTACTGAAATTCCTCCCATTATTAATTTCCAGTTTTATACTACTGTGTTCAAAAAAGTTACTTGATATAATTCCAATATTCTTACATTTGTTAAGACTTGTTTGGTGGCCTAACCTATGGTCTATCCTGGAGGAGTATTCTATGTGTATTTGAGAAGAACCTATATTCTGCTGCTGTTAAATGGAATGTTCTATACACATCCATTAGGTCCATTTGGTCTAAAATATAGTTCAAGTCCAGTGTTTCCTTATTAATTTTCTATCTGGGTGATCATTCATTGCTGAAAATGGGGTATTGAAGTCCTCTGCTAATATTGTATTGCATTTTTTCTCTCTCTTCAGATATATGAATATTTTCTTTATATTTTTGGGTGCTCTGATTGGGTGCATATATACTAATAATTGTTATAACCTCTTGATAAATCAACCCTTTTATCATTATATATCTTTGTCTCTTTTTAAAGTTTATGACTTTGTCTTTTTTTATCTGATATTTTATCTGATAGATAGATAGATAGATAGATGGCTACTTCTTTCCTATTTTGGTTTTCATTTTCATGGAATATCTTATTTCATCCCCTCACTTTCAATCTATAAAGGTGAATTAAGTCCATACAGGTGAGTGAAGTCTCTTGCAGGCAGCCTATAGTTGAGTCATGGGGTTTCTTTTAATCATTCAATAACACATCTTTTGATTGGAGAATTTAATACAGTTATATTCAATGTAATTATTGAAAGGCAAGGACTTAACTATTGCCATTTCATTAATTGCTTTCTGGTTGTTTGGTAGAGCCTTTGGTTCTTCTTCCTATCTTGCTGTCTTCCTTTGGGATTACATGATTTTCTGTACTGGTATGCTTACTGTAGGTTTTTGCTTTGTGGCTACCATGAAGCTTACATAAAACCACTTATAGTTATGACAGCCTATTTGAAGCTGATAACTAACTTAGACTGCATTTAAAAAACTCTATACTTGCTTCTTCCCACTCACATTGTATTTTAGTCACAACTTATACCATTTTATATTGTGTATCCCTTAACAAGTTATGCCATTATTATTTTTATTTTGTCCTTTAACCTTCGTACTATGGATATTTGTGATTTATACAACACCATTACAGTATTTGACTGTGTATTTACTTTTATCAGTTAGTTTTATGCTTTCAAATGTTTTCATGTTGCTATGTTTTCAGCTTGAAGAACTCCCTTTAGCATTTATTATAAAGTAGATCTAGCGGTGATAAAATCCTTCAGCTTTTGTTTGTCTGGAAAAGTCCTTAACTCTCCTTCATTTCTGAGGGACAGCTTTGCCAGGTTCAGTATTCTTGGTTACCAGTTTTTTTGTTTGTTTTTTTCCCATACTTTGAATATATCATCTCATTCTCTTCTGGACTAAAACATAAAATACTTCAGAAATTTGCATGACATTCTTGTGCAAGGGCCATGCTTCTCTTCTCTTTATCATTTTTAGTACTATGTGATGCCAAAGTAAGCACTAGCACTTCTTGTAATTGCGTCACCTGATAACATATCATCTTGCCTTTCATTTATTTGAAAATACCTATTTTATGTTCATTTTTGTAAGGTATTTTTACTTGATACAGAATTTTAGGTTGACAAGTTTTTTCTTTTTCTTTTAGCATTTTAAGTATGTCTTTTGGCCTCAATTGTTTCTAATGAGAAATCAGCTATATCTGGGTGCTTTTTGTATTTTCTGTTTGTGTTTTTAGGAGTTTAACTTTGATGTGTTGCATGTTATTTTCTTTGTATTTATCTTGTTTGAGGTGTGCTTTGTTTTCTGAATCTATGGGTTTCTTCTTTTTGATCAAATTTGGAAAATATTTGACCAACGTTTTTTCAAATATTTTTTCTGTGATGTAGTTCTTTTGCTCCTCTTTTTCTGGAACTCCAATTGCTCATTTTCTCAGTCACTTGATACTGTGCCACAAGTTGTTGAGGGTCTGTTAATTGTTTTCCAACCTTCTCTCCTTCCATGCTTCTACTTGGATAATTTCTATTGATCTATAATCCAATGCACTGATCCTGTCTTCTTTATCCAAACTACCATAATATTTTCTAATTTTTTTATATTTCAAATACTGTATTTTTCAGTTTCTAAAATTTCCTTTTAGTTCTTTTTATAGTATTCATATTTCTTCTCAAATTCCTCATCTCTTCACACATAAAAATGAATACATCTTTTCCTATAGATTTTTTATTATATTTATCATAGTTATTTTTAAATTTTTGACTTAGTTCATTTGGATTGCTCTCAGAAAAATACCTTGAGTTAGGTGGTTTGTAGATAACAGAAATTTATTCCTCACAGTTATGGAGGCTGGGAAATCCAAGATCAAGGCATCAGCAGATTTAATGTCTGGTGAGGGACCTGCTTTCTTATAAACAGTGCCTTCTTGCTATGTTCATACATGGTGGAGAAGCTAACTAGTGCTACAGAGTGTCTTTTATAAGGGTACTAATCCTATTTATGAGGGTTCTACCCTCATGATCTATTCTGCCCCCAAGGGCCCATCTCCTAATACTATCTCATCAATAATTAGGTGTTAACATGTGAATTTTGGGAGAACAAAAACATTCAGACCATAGTAGTTCCCCTCTGCTAATTTCAGTATCACAGGTTTGTTTGTCACTTTGTTTTTATCAACTGATTTTCCCCCCGCACTGGGCTACATTTTTCTGTCTGTTCATATATCTAGAAATTAATTTTTTCATTATACATAGATGATTCTGCATTCCGTTATCTTGCTTTGAAGATTTTGAATTTTGCTCTAGTAGTTAGGTAACTTACCATCAAATCCCCTTGGTCTTTTATGGAGTTGATTTTAAGCTTTGTTAGGGAAAGTCTGTTTTGAATTTTTCCCTTAGTCATAGGGTAAATACCTTAATTTTGGAATATGGTACTTAATCCTAGGGTGTGGCCCTTCTGAAATTTCAGTGCAAAGCCTGAGGGACTTATTAAGGCTCTCTCATTTGTTGGTGTTTAAGCTTTAAACTCGGCCTCCATTGTGGGCAGCTACTGAGCTCTCTGCTCAGTTGTGTGTTCTGTTTTTTTGTTTGTTTGTTTTTTGTTTTTCAGTTTGTTTGTTTTTCCTTAGGATTCCAGCTCCTGTTTTTCCCATAGGCTTCTTGTAGTCTCAGTCTACACATTCAGACTTTAGGTGTCAGTCAAGGATTTCAGTAGAATCTATACATAGATCTGGGGGCTCCCCTCTATGGCTTAATTCTTTATGGGATTTCCCCCTTCAATGTCTAACTGCTCTGGAAGACCCAGTATGCATCATCTGCTCCCCAATACTACTGCAGCTTTTTGCTTCAGCTCTATCCGAAATGCCCCACCATACCACAAAGACTAGAGACTGCCCTCAGACGAAAGCTGGATAAATTAGATCTCACTGAGTGTGGTTCTCCTCTTTTAGGGGGACAAATCTCCACTAGTTTCTGTCTGAGTTGGATAATTTCCCAGTAATTTCAAACCCATTTTTTTTTCTGTTTTGTACAGAGTTGATAAATTATATCAGTAGGAGAGTTAGTGTAATACAAGCTACTCCACCATTATCCTAGGTTGGAAATCTCCTGGTTTCTCATTTTTAAAATGAGGATAATATCTACTTCACAGTTTTTTTTCCCCTCTGTCTGAGAATTAAATAGGAATATATCTGTGAAATGCCTGGCATGGATAGATATTCAGGAAATGTTAGTTTCCTTTCCTGTATGTTGAATTGGCATCTGTTTCCTTTTAGCTTCCCTTCACTAGTCCTTGCTTTGTTCTCTGGGTCCACTACACACAGGTCTAACTTCTTTCCCATCTGTCAGACCATCAGGGATTTGATGACGGAGATCATATCCTGTGGCTCGGGTTTCTCCTTTATCTTCAGGTTAAAAATCTCAGTTCTTTCTGCCATTTCTCAGGCCACAGGTTTTTTTCTAGGGAACTTGGAGTCCCTGTAATGATTCTATTTCTTCATGGAGGAATGTCCTAAACTCAAGCTCCCAGTTCTGCTATTTATGAACTCTATAATTGGAGCAAGTCATCTTCTGAGTTGCAATATCCCCATCTGAAAAATGCCATTATAATTCCTATTCAGTCTGTGTCTTGAAAACTCAGGCACCTCAAAACTTTAGCCAATGTTGGTGAGAGAGTCTGAGGAGAGGTCTCCACCTCCTAGGTTCCTGCCGTCACTGATGGAGGGACTCGGGTTCCCTTCTCTGGTTATTTTGGTGGGGGAAGAAGAAGGAACAGGGGCTATTATAATTCAGTCTCTCTCCACAAGAGAGGTCTGTGGCTAATTTTCTCTTGAATTACCAAGGGCAATCATATTTTTCTGTTTTAGGTTTCACTTTTTCTTCCCAAAATCACTCAACCTAGTCTCATATGAGAAATTCATATTCTTCCTATTATCACAACTTTGACACTATTCTTTGCAAATCAATGTTGGTCATATTATGTTATATATGCATTTTCCTATCCATCCTACTGTCTCTGTTTGAAACACTATAATCAAATATTATATCCTCTCAAAATTTTCCTTTGATCCCCAAATTTATTTAGGGGCAAGGGAGAGTAGTGATGATTTGTTTATTCTCCAAATGAGAAAAAGCATTAGCAAAGATGTAAGAATTCCTTTATAAAATCCTTACACAAGTAAGTAAGGTGATCATAACATTTATTATCCAAAGCTGTATACTTCTGAAAGTGAAAGGGGGCACTATTAATAATGATGCTGTGACTGACTGCCTCAGAAAAATTGCAATGTATGCCCATTGTGCAATTGAGTACCTCAGGGCCTGACTTCCTGTAGAGGTTCCTGATTCTTGAGGAAAAATGTTTGGCAGCCAAATCACCAGATACACAGATGAATGACTCTTTTTTTCCATTCATCTATAGAATCTTTCTTTCTCAGGAACTTCATTGTTGGGGAACTCCACTAGTGCAAAGGGCTTAGGATCACCTGTGCAGAGCCACCAGTGAAAAGGACTGATCTGGTCACTTTTGTCTGAAGCACATTCTCAGCTATGAGGCAAAAACTTAAGCTCAAATCACCTTCCTGCAAGTCAAGGACTCACTGCCCCTCATTGAGTTGCGTCCTGCCTGGCTAATATCTGTTTACTCACACAGCTCCCGCAAAAGGTCACTGCTTTCTCCCAGAGGTGCTGGTTTGCATGTAATGGAGCTGCAAAGTGACCCTCCTTTCCAGTTCAATTCAGCCTAGACCATGGCTAAGTTCAAAACAATATTCAAGAAATATACGTGTTACACTCACCTTGTTATTTTCTTTAAAAAAGCTGCTTTTTCCTGCCCTGCAGTTTTCCACACTGCTTTTCTAGAGTGGCTTCCTCCTTTCTAATCCTTGCTATCTGGTAAGACTGTATTCATTCATCAAGTTCCAACTCAAATATCATGTTCTCCATGAGGCTCTTCCTGATGCCCCCTCCCTTTCATTAATCTACTCCAGGTGTCAGAGTCAATTAGGATTTGGTGCTGCTAATTTAATTTTTAAAAAGCATGACAGTGGCTTAGACAAGATACTACTTGTCTTTCACATAGAAGTCAGGAGGTCAGTAGTCCAATGCTGTTAGGGCAGCCCTTTGGTGTCATCGAAGATTCAGGCTCTTATCTTTCCGCTTTGCAATCCTCAAAGTCACCTCATGGTTCCAGGTAGCTGCTGAAGCTACAGCTATATGTTCATCTGACAGCTGGAGAAGAAATATTAATAACAGGAGGACCAGAGGTTTTCTTAGCTATTAGGGACCTTTTTATCTTAATGTTGTGAATTACATGAAAATATTTTTCCTTATGTTAAGCCAACCTTGAATTCCTGAAATTAACCCACTTTGGTCAAAATGCATTATCATCTATATACATTGCTGGATATCACTTGCTAATGCTTTAAGGTTTTTGCACCTTCTCATATGGTTTTGTGATTCTTTGGTATCATGATGATGCTAACTTCATGAAGCAGATAGAGACTTCTCTCTCTTTTGACATTTTGGAATATTTATTTAAGATTAGATTTATTTGTTCCCTTGAATATTTGGCAGAACCCACTGATCAAACCTCTGGACCTGGAGATTTTTTTCTTTATGGGAAGACTTTTAACTCTTAATTCAAATTTTAATAATTATAGAATGATTTGGGTATCTTGTTTTTTCTTGATAAGTTATGTTTTCTAAAAATATGTTTATTTCATCTAAATTTTGCCTATTCCTTTGTCTGATTCTTCCATCTACCATTTCTGATGCATTCCAGATGCTATCCTGAGTTTGCTCTTCCAGTTCATAGATTCTCCTTTCAAGCATATCTAGTCAACCACAATGCTTATCTATTGAGTTTTCTGTCTCAATTTTTATATTTTATTTTTATGATTCTCTTGGGTTCTTAAAATCTGCTTGCTCTTTTCTGCTGTTTTTGTGCATTTAACAGCTTCAGTGAAGTACAGCTGACATACCTCACTACGTCAATAATGTGCCAATGAAT